TATTTATGCTGGTACAAAAATTAAGATTGAAGCATTTTGCCTTGAATTCGTCGCTATCTGTTGACAGGGCGGGGATAGGCAATATACAGATAACGTTCGTGCGATTTAAAGCGGGGACCCAGATAGATTAAGATATAGAGTTGGAAATTTTGGTGGAGTATATGTAGTATGAAACCATTCGAGAGGCCCTACAGTTACATCATTTACCCGAACGTGTCCACAAAACTGGATTAAGGCAGTATTGTGTGTTTTGTCCGTAAAATAAACATCTCGTGGAATTTGTGAATCTATGGATTTATGATGTACAGGGGTATTACCCATCTAGTAGTTGTGTTATTCAATGGATCCTCTTTCCTACTCACCTACGTATGGTAAATAATTCGGCAGTCCATTCTTAGTTGACCTTTAAGTTAATTGCAAAGTCTCGGGCCTTTTGCTATCATCGACAATACTTATATAACCAGAATACGTGTTTTGTATCGGTCAATAACTCTGTGTATTCTTCGGCCCTAGGGGCGTCTCGTTTGATATTATTGTAGATCTTTTCACCGGCCTTTCTTTCTGTAACTTGCTTTGAGAGAGGTGACGTCCATTTCCTAAAGTCAAACAGTCACTGAAAGGTTAGAAGCTTTGACCTTTGCCTCCGTGTTAACTTACACCAACCCATGGCTTAATGCAAGTCTACGATCAAAACAGCCTCCCTCAACAATTTATCAATATTAAGATCTCGAATCAAAATCGGTACACTTTAAACACGAAACGCTGGCGTAACTTTTACTTACTGTTGTCAAATAACTTGCAGTGTCGTCAATGGTCATTTTTCACGCTGGCAAGTGACCAGCGCTTTGTCCACCTCGCTACATGTACTACACCTAGATGTCAGGTAAGGCTTGTAAAGCTACGTGAGCACTATGCTCCCCTGCCCTTACTACACCGCGGATTCTATATGTCCCATAGAAACGCCTTGTATACGGGGCAAGGAGGTATTAAGACCCCACTAGAACTGCAAAGTAGAAATCATAATGGCTCTATTGTGTAAGTCCATTCATCTAACCTGAGAAATAACAGGTTTCCGTTGAACCATGGATTATCCGCTTTCACGAGAATGTTTTTGTTATTTTGGGCTATTTAGGAGACTATTCACCTATGAGAAATCCTAAATGTTTGTGTCAAAGTAAATTCAGTTTTCGGCACACACCATTTACCTAGTTATGAATGTGCATATCCATGTTAGTCAAACAAACATGTTAGTTTTTTCTAAAAGCAAAAATATATTTCTAACTAACAAAACAACACCAGATGTTATCTGATGTTTTGCCCTCTGATCATCTGTATCGATTTTTAGCTATAGAAATATTTTGTAGATGCTTTTCAAATATTTCTTTGGAAAAATGCCACATATATTATTTGTTATTAGAAAGTGGCATGTATGGGTTCTAACCCTAAAAAGCAATTAGGGCAAGTCAATAAAGTACCTTTACAGAGAATTTTCAATTTATACATTTCTTTTTTCCTTCACAAGCTTCCGCTTTGTACTAAGAAATCCACAGAATGTAGATAAACTGAATCTAATGCAATTAATTTCATTTAGGTTTAGTACACAGCCAAATAAAAAAGATCTATTAAAGATACGTACCAATACGCAAAACGAAGTACCTGGCGGTCTAGTGTTTGCACGAAATAATACCAATTATTTCTACATGCAGTTATTTAAAGATGTAGGCAAGAATATGCATATTACAGATAGTGCAAATAAATATCCCTAGGTATCAGGTTTGTGAACAAAACTTTATAAAGGAATCTAAGTCAAAATCATCATCACCAACGTTTTACATCCCTGGAAGTGGATTTCAAGCCCTCCTAATTCCCCATTTTGGCAACCAAAAAGCTCCAGCTTCGTTAAAACGCAATTAATTTCTCAACTGTCGCAATTGATAATGCTTGTGATTAGTTTGAAAAATCCAATTGACTTTAAATGTGAACCGTAACACAAAGCTTGTGAATCATTCAACAGGATGAAAATCGAAGAGATGAAATTATTTGATTATAGTAAAATATACACCTTTATCAACGATCTATTCCGTATTTATGTCACTTTATACTGTAAACAAAACTAGCACGCCCCAATCCAAAGAATTCCGGGTTTCTGATTCTTTAGTTTTGTCAGTTTCTGCCCACGTTAGCCTTTAATATTAAAGACGCTGGCAGTGAATTGGTTTCAAATACCACATCACCTTTATCAGGCAACAAGAATTTGTGTCTAAGCAACCGGCAAAAACAATCATAACGAAAAAACAAACATTGTAGTATAAGTATATATTTGATCGTTATGAGCCTAACTTCTCAGCAATTCGTATCACGTGCCCTATCACCTCCACACTAACTAACTTAAGTGGGCGGTATGATATTGATAACAGCGAGAGATCTTCCAAATTTAATGCAGAAGAATGACTCCGGGAACAACAATTAAACCCCGATAAAGGAAATTTGTTGCCGATGAACGCACATATAAATCGGTCATCGCGTTAACAACAAAGGGAGAACATGTGGCCGAGGAAAAAACTCCTCGCAAACACCTATCCAGCCGCAGCGGGACTGCAAAGTGAAATAGGAAAACTGGCATCACATAAGTATGCTAACACAAACGCTGAGTACCGAAGACAGATTGAACTTTATAAGCACGATTTAAACCAGAATATACAAAAGATCAATTCGACTCAGAAGGCTCTGGAGCAGTCAATACTCACTTACTCACAGAGATTGAAGGAGATTGAAAAGAAACATTCGAATTCATTACTTGATATTACGCGGGCGCCAAGTACTTCAATATACACTAAAACACGAGCCTCATACAATTCAGTGTTGAAAACGACACGCACGACTACAAAACTCAGCGAAAACCGGGAGGAAGAAATATCTGTTGAGAAGAACGTGGAAATTTGTCCTGATAAACGACACACAGTTCTGCCAAAGTTATTTTTTCGCGTAAAAAGCCATTCAGTGCCCGGATACAGTACAGGCAGAGACCGTCTCCCTCCGTTGAACGTGGCAGACCGCGTTCGAAGCGCAAAGTTAGAACTACCTGTCATCGTCGAGACAGACGCCGAGGATACTGGACAGCAAAAATCGCCAAATTCTCCCACATCACCAGTAGTTTTAACGGGTGAAGTTTGCAACCGTACCCTACCAACGTGCGAAATAAGAAACTGCAAAATAAACAAGGAATCGCCTCGTGAAAACAGATCGCCATCCCATATAATTACTGCAGAAATCTACAGAGCTACGTCCACGAGTCCAGACACAGATACGCACAGAAAGCAATCCATACCGGTCCGCGGTCCCAGATTTAATTTACAAAACGCCTCTGAAGCCCACGTGAACCTTATCAAGTCATACCAAGAACGTTACTTCAGAGACAGCGTTCTCCAAAAAAGTCCCGACGGGGGACAGACACCAGAGGATGTGATTGACCAACCAGTGTTTGATGTAGCGGAACTGAAAAACTGTCGTTATCTTAGGTTTCCCAGTCCAGGTGGAACCAACTGAAAATATTTAGATATTTACGTCTAGTTGGAGTAGTTTGCTCAATCCTTTCAATTCTTAAATAGTTCAAATGTTTTTGCTGAAGATTTTTCTAACATACCTATTTTTTTATATTCCGAAATCAACACAGATTGACTAACAGTTTGTTTTCAATACATCATGAAAATAGCACGGGGTCAAAGGTCAGAATTACATCAAATTGAACAAACAGGTTGACATTTTCCAATAAATATCAGATGAACTGAGCAGTGCGTTTAGTCCAAAGACACATCTTACCTCGCCCGAGATGCCGAAGATGTTCTACAGTGTTGTTTGTACAAGGAATTACCTGCGTCATAAGGGGACTGATAAATACACGTTGATTAAAATTTTCATAAGGATGACTTAGACCTTACAGGATCACAAAAGGCTTGCTATTCAAGACATGAGATTATACAAAGGGTCAACAAGCAGCATCTCGCCTAAGGCATTCGTGAGATTAGTAGTACGATTACAGTATTTAAACTTGATTATCTAGACGATATTATGTTATATGAATAAAACCAATTGAGCAAATATTTTTGTTTGTCTACTTGTTGGGTTTATTAAATCTTAAAAGGTCAAACAATTTCAATATCAGTTCCGTTACCTTTAAAACAATAAGAACAATGAGATGAGCTTGAAATTTGGTCACTGATAGAATTCTGCAAATTCTCATAGCAATCAATCTTACAAAAGTCTTTTTCTACTTAAAAAAAGAGTGAAAATCTATAGCTACTGTGGATTTGTCAGCAATCTGCAAAGAATTTGCTGCAAGGAATTCATGTTCATGTTTTGCACAATATCTCTGATAAAATATCCCAATAAAAACATGTACATTTCACCCAATGGTGGAATTCAACAACATGGCTTTACAACAGTATTGCATCTTCTTCAGTGCTGCCATCACTGGTCTCCAAACCTCAAAATACACGCATGAGCAATGTCCACTTTAATACTACACATATTTACAAATAAAAGCATACAAAAATAAAGTCATTCCTCCTGGTTTGTTCCACTTAGCGACCATAGGGGTGATACCCGCGTGTTGTTGATGCTGATCCTCTACCAAACCCAGACTGAGCAGCCATATATCCTCCTGCTGGAGCTGGGGCATCCCCTTGACCACCATAAGCAGGGTTAGCTGGAGGAGCCGTGCCATAGCTAGCATCGTATCCTGCTGGAAATGGTGAGTGGTGAGAGTAATGGTTAAATAAGGCATTTAATAATTGGCATTTCATAAAAATGAATATATTAAAATTTAAAAAAATCACTGTAATTGAACCGCTGTGATGTCCAAAAAGCACAATGCATGGTGCCTTGCAGTTGCAGATGACATGTGATACTATTATGCTGGGTTAAGACTACTAAAATGTGGAAACTAAGAGTAAGGAAATGTAATACACCACAAAATTTTTTACTTGTTCTATCATTTGCCTCTGTTTGAGTAAAAAAAAAAAAAAAAAACNTAGCCGATGAACGCACATATAAATCGGTCATCGCGTTAACAACAAAAGGAGAACATGTGGCCGAGGAAAAAACTCCTGGCAAACACCTATCCAGCCGCAGCGGGACTGCAAAGTGAAATAGGAAAACTGGCATCACATAAGTATGCTAACACAAACGCGGAGTACCGAAGACAGATTGAACTTTATAAGCACGATTTAAACCAGAATATACAAAAGATCAATTCGACTCAGAAGGCTCTGGAGCAGTCAATACTCACTTACTCACAGAGATTGAAGGAGATTGAGAAGAAACATTCGAATTCATTACTTGATATTACGCGAGCGCCAAGTACTTCAATATACACTAAAACACGAGTCTCATACAATTCAGTGTTGAAAACGACACGCACGACTACAAAACTCAGCGAAAACCGGGAGGAAGAAATATCTGTTGAGAAGAACGTGGAAATTTGTCCTGATAAACGACACACAGTTCTGCCAAAGTTATTTTTTCGCGTAAAAAGCCATTCAGTGCCCGGATACAGTACAGGCAGAGACCGTCTCCCTCCGTTGAACGTGGCAGACCGCGTTCGAAGCGCCAAGTTAGAACTACCTGTCATCGTCGAGACAGACGCCGAGGATACTGGACAGCAAAAATCGCCAAATTCTCCCACATCACCAGTAGTTTTAACGGGTGAAGTTTGCAACCGTACCCTACCAACGTGCGAAATAGGAAACTGCAAAATAAACAAGGAATCGCCTCGTGAAAACAGATCGCCATCCCATATAATTACTGCAGAAATCTACAGAGCTACGTCCACGAGTCCAGACACAGATACACACAGAAAGCAATCCATACCGGTCCGCGGTCCCAGATTTAATTTACAAAACGCCTCTGAAGCCCACGTGAACCTTATCAAGTCATACCAAGAACGTTACTTCAGAGACAGCGTTCTCCAAAAAAGTCCCGACGGGGGACAGACACCAGAGGATGTGATTGACCAACCAGTGTTTGATGTAGCGGAACTGAAAAACTGTCGTTATCTTAGGTTTCCCAGTCCAGGCGGAACCAACTGAAAATGTTTAGATATTTACGTTGGAGTAGTTTGCTCCATCCTTCCCCTTCTTGTATAGTTCAAACAATGTTTTTGTTGAAGATTTTTCTAACATACCTAATTTTTTATATTCCGAAATCAATACAGATTGACTAACAAAGTTTGTTTCCAATACATCACGAAAATAGCACGGGGTCAAAGGTTATTATATCAAATTGAGCACACGGGTTGACATTTTCCAATAAATATCAGATGAACCGAGCGGAGCGTTTAGTCCAAGGACGCATCTTACCTCGCCCGAGATGCCGAAGATGTTCCCCAGTGTTGTTTGTACAAGGAATTACCTGCGTCATAAGGGGACTGATAAATACACGTTGATTAAAATTTTCATAAGGATGACTTAGACCTTACAGGATCACAAAAGGCTTGCTATTCAAGACATGAGATTATACAAAGGGTCAACAAGCAGCATCTCGCCTAAGGCATTCGTGAGATTAGTAGTACGATTACAGTATTTAAACTTGATTATCTAGACGATATTATGTTATATGAATAAAACCAATTGAGCAAATATTTTTGTTTGTCTACTTGTTGGGTTTATTAAATCTTAAAAGGTCAAACAATTCCAATATCAGTTCCGTTACCTTTAAAACAATAAGAACAATGAGATGAGCTTGAAATTTGGTCACTGATAGAATTCTGCAAATTCTCATAGCAATCAATCTTACAAAAGTCTTTTTCTACTTAAAAAAAAGAGTGAAAATCTATAGCTACTGTGGATTTGTCAGCAATCTGCAAAGAATTTGCTGGCGAGGAATTCATGTTCAAGTTTTGCACAATATCTCTGATAAAATATCCTAATAAAAACATGTACATTTCACCCAATGGTGGCATTCAACAACATGGCTTTACAACAGTATTGCATCTTCTTCAGTGCTGCCATCACTGGTCTCCAAACCTCAAAATACACGCATGAGCAATGTCCACTTTAATACTACACATATTTACAAATAAAAGCATACAAAAATAAAGTCATTCCTCCTGGTTTGTTCCACTTAGCGACCATAGGGGTGATACCCGCGTGTTGTTGATGCTGATCCTCTACCAAACCCAGACTGAGCAGCCATATATCCTCCTGCTGGAGCTGGGGCATCCCCTTGACCACCATAAGCAGGGTTAGCTGGAGGAGCCGTGCCATAGCTAGCATCGTATCCTGCTGGAAATGATGAGTGGTGAGAGTAATGGTTAAATAAGGCATTTAATAATTGGCATTTCATAAAAATGAATATATTAAAAAAAAAAAATCACTGTAATTGAACCGCTGTGATGTCCAAAAAGCACAATGCATGGTGCCTTGCAGTTGCAGATGACATGTGATACTATTATGCTGGGTTAAGACTACTAAAATGTGGAAACTAAGAGTAAGGAAATGTAATACACCACAAAATTTTTTACTTGTTCTATCATTTGCCTCTGTTTGATAAAAAAAAAAAAAAAAAAACAGCAATTCTATTACTACACTAGTTGTGATACATATTTTTTGCACACAACACACATATGCATAATTCTTTGATATTTATATGTTTACTTCATTCTATTACATATACAAAGCTTTTTTTCCCCAAGTCTGACGGCCCGTGCCTTCAATCTGTAGCTGACTTATTATAAGGCAATACCTGCTGGTGCTGCAGCATATCCTGTGTTGGGTGTAGCGCCATATGATGGAGTAGCTGCTGGCTGACTGTCTGAACCACTGTACGTCCTGGTGGGACCATAGGCACTGGCTTCTTGAGGATAGGCTCCTACACATAGAACATTGAACAAACATCTCATTTGTCCTTCTTTCACCAAGATGGTTTCATTTGCAATCAATATATTAAGTCACTCAGGCAGCCATTAATACAACCTGTTGTCACCTTAATTAATTTTTGAAGAAAGCAGAATACCAGAATAAACAAACTTACCATAGGTATAGTCAGCTGCTGGAGCTGTAGATGGAGTGCCTGTTGCTGTGGGCTGTGCAACATAAGCTAAAATGCAGAAAACAAAAGTCCAATCACAATAAATTTGGGGGGAAATGTTAGCACTAAGTCACATCAAAATAAAAAGTTGCAAGCAGGTTCTCAATCTTTGTATACGTTAAACAACACAGTTGTCTTTTAAAACTATTACACAGATTTTCTATCTGTCATTTTGAAATGGTTGAGGAAAATTAATACTTATAATGACCACAATAACAGCACCCCCCCCCCCCAATTTTTTTAAAACAATTTTACTATTATACAAAATAACATTGGTCAAGGCCCCTACCCTGTGTAGTTGCCTGTGGTGCAGCATATGGATCCCCTGCTGCTGGCTGTGCTGGCTGTGCACTGTAGTTGTATCCAGCATAGGAACTGGCCTGGGCAGTAGGGGCACTGGCAGGAGCTCCTGTGCAAGTGACAAAAGTCATAAGTCTACAACTATTACCAAAGCCACCTACAGCATTGCTATTCAGTATGCAGAATGGGGTTGATACAATTAATCACTGTTGCCCATACATTTGGCAAATGGCATAAAATATGGAAATGTGATGCAAGTCATTTGATGCATTCAAAACGAAAATTAAGTACACACTCAAAACCTAATCAATCACTTATAGTGACTTGTATACCCCCTACTTACCATAGGCTTGCTGTGCTGGTGGCTGACCGTAAGCTGCAGGTTGCTGGACAGCAGCAGGCTGAGAGTAGGCACTGTAGCCCTGGGTAGCCGGGGTCTGGGCCACCCAGCCATTGTTGGCAGGAGCAGCTGCAGGAGGAGCACCATAGCCTGGAGGAAGGACAAGCAACAAACAAGCTAGCTTTTCCTTTACAACAATTATCAAATGTATAATCACACCATTTTTAAAATAAATACACATTTTTTCATAAAATCATGATTACTAGGCACTTAATCTAAGCCATTTGTTGTTACATGGATACTCATTAACGTATCTCCCTCTTAAGCAAAGAAGGAAGTCCCAAATATAAGCAAGCAGAAGGCAGAGAAGGCACCCAAACTAACACAGAGCTTTTTATGCTGCTGTGTGCCTGTTGGTGCGGTAGTAGTAAAGCATGTACCTGCTGCTGGAGCAGGAGCTCCCTGTGGAGCTCCATAGTAAGACTGGGCTGCTGGTGGGGCACCTGCTGCTGGGGGTGCTGACGGGGTAGAGTAATAATCATATGATGGCTGCTGTGGTGGTACTGCAGGTGCTGGGCCTGGTTGTGGAGGTTGTGGACCTGGTCCTCCGGGGCCTGGAGCTGGTCCTGGAGGGCCTCCTGCGCCTGGAGGAGGCCCTGGGGGACCTCCAGGTGGACCCCCTGGGGGTGGGGGACCTCCAGGGCCCCCTGGACCTGGTGGGCGTGGTGGTCCCCATCTGTCATCTAAATAACACAAAAGTAACAAAGAATTTCATCACTGTATACATACTACACTTCAAATATATAAAAATGAATATATAATATTAGGAAATTTTGGAAGTAAAATGTATATGTGCATCTCACCTGGTCCAGGTCCAGGACCATGTCCCCATGGTCCTGGGCCACCATATGGCCCCTGTGGAGGGAACCCTGGGCCTTGCTGATATCCTGGTCCAGGGGGGAATGGTGGGCGAGGTCCTGGTGGACCACCCATGAAGCCACCAGGTGGTCCTGGTGGGCCATCCCATCTTGGTCCTCCTCTTCCTCCCGGTCCGCCACCACCGCCACCACCTCCGCCTCCTCCCTGTTTGTGCTGAGGCTCAGCTTTTTTACACTCCACCTAATAAAGAAAAGGAGAAGGTCAGCCAAACCAAGCTCTCATTTCAAGCCCAATTTCAAAGGTATCGTTAAGTCATTTTTTTTCCAGATATATTGGTTTTGTCAAGGTTTGGAAATTACAGCCTTTGAATTTGAGCATTTAAACAATTATGTCTTTGTTTGTTTTTTTTAATTGTTCTAATTGTTGATAAAACCTTTAAAGAGTATCTTATTGGCCTGACTTAAAATGTTACTGATAATATGTTACTAATGATATATGTTACATTAAATAATAATTCTACAACTAGTACCTTAATGTTGATATTAAATGCTTACCATCTATTTAATAAATAAACTTGGTAACTTTTAATTGAGCTTTGTTAACTGTTTCTTTTTAACTTTTTGGCTCCAGCACTTGGCAAGCAGTAAGCAGATTGGCCCTTTAAAGGCATGGATTTTGCCATTTCTTAATAATCATAATCATTTATATATTTTTTGTGCTACCAAATGCCAAAGTCAATCTAAAAAAAAACATCAACACATGCTACAAACAAACTACAAACTACTTTTGTTTCTTGTGAGTGAAATGTTACCAATTATCTAGATAATGCACTGGAAATTATCTTTCTTCCAAGTTTAACTTGTATGTAGCATGTGTTTGTCAACATACTTACTTGAGCAACTAACAAAATCACCAAAATGAACCAACTCTTCACTAACATGTCTGGTTTGTCTTTCTTAAAACACGAATCCAACAAAAATATACGCAGCTTACAAGTTGTTGAGCCTCTTGCCAATGTGAAAATCTTATACATAATGCCGAATGACCCGAACTTTCTGTTCAGTACTTTGAAATGATAAAATTTTAGATATTCAAACAAGACACGTTTTTTTTTTTGTTTGTTTGTTTTTTGATAAAGGCATTGTTACAAACTCATGCCAAATTGGATAGGCAGAGGTTGCAACATTTTGCCATCAAATACACTTATTTTCAGCATTATTAAGTATGCATCCTGCATACTTTGTAAAATTACAAGTAAGATGCTGATAATAAGGTATTTCTGTTTCAGAAAACTAATAAAGTAATAACTAAACCTGTTTGCCATTCATTTGGAAATATCGCATGGAAGCGACTTGTTCTACGCTGCCTTCATTGTCAAACGTCAAAAATCCAAAGCCTATTGAGGAGGGAAGAATCAAGGTGAATTCAGCACAACTGCCAGTACAACATCCAATTCATAGCTTTTTGTGTTATTTTTGTCCCTAACAAAAAGGTTAACATCCAGCAACTTGCATGATTCAAACATGCCTTAACCGTTTTAGTACTGTCAAAACCCCGTAGGTAGCTAAACCATTAATTAATGACTAAAACTTGCTAACAAATGAAGCACCTGTTCTACAGTGACAATTTGTGTGCCACGCAGCACTAAGGAAAGTCATAGTAATTCTTGAAGTAATGTCTAAACTAAACTCCTCATAAATATATAGACTATTCTTATATAATAAAACATGCAAATAGCATATTATATCAGGTCTTTGTTTTCAGTTATAAAAAATCATCTCATTTCAAATTCCTGCATCACATGTATAACACACTGTATTATATGAATGTCATGTTTATAAGAAAAGATAACTGTAACAATGTTTCACATATCAATTCACTTCTAAGTGAACTTAAACATAAATTTTTAGTCATGAACCTAAAGACGATTTTTTAAATACTTCTAAAGCCAAACTTATGTACAAAACAACTTAAAAATGATTGCATTTAACAGAATTATACAAACCCTTTACATAAAAAGCTGGATGGCATGATTTGTTCATTAAAATAATTTCTAAATTGGCAAAGAAAGCATTATCTGATAAGTTTTTGAAGCTAGTGAAAAAAAAAAAAAAGATAAACAAGACCCTTTTTATAACTATGCTCCTAGCTTGCTATATTTTGAACTACATGTTAATGGGTAATTTAATAAATGCACTAGATTCAATATCAAATTTTAACTGGCAGTGTGCTGAATCTAAGTCATTAAATTGGCATGTGATATAAGTACCTAGATGCAAAGAAAAGACAACATGGTAATGACATAAAAACAACATAGATATGAATAATTTAATAATGCAAAATGCTATCTAATATGTAAGAATATTTACACAATAATATATTAATGCAAAATTCTGCTAACAAATAATCAACTTAAATATTTCTTTATGAAAATGGTAATAATATGTAATGTATAATTTAAACATATTCAATGATGTCTGCAAAGCAGACTGCTATCACCCACTGTTCTCAGCATTAATTCCCAAAAGACCAAGCTGAGCAGTAACTTGTGCTAGAAAAGAAGTGATCACCAACTTGTTAAGCTTCATGCATAGAAAAACAACTACAAATCACACCATGAAGAGAGAAATAGAGCTTGTAGGGGATTGTATGGAATTGAACCATCTCTTCGTTGACCCGTGTTCAGAAGCACATGTTGAATTTATTCCCCACACATGACAGGTGGGGATAACAATGTCATATATGTATACTAATATTAGGTGTTTATAATAAGATAGATCACTACAACTGTGCATGGACACTACAGAATATTTGTCTTAAGTCTTACAATCATGCTGTTACTCCTTAAAATCCCTAATATGTACACTGGATGAAGTGATGACCTCAGACTCACCAGATACCAGGACAAAGCATAACTATCAATTTCCTCAATTTGCCATACCAAAAGTGGCTTTACATACAATTGAAATTTCATATCTGGTCCTCCTTAGTCCAGTTTCATAATGCCACTATTCTTCTACACCAGTCAAGGAATACTATATCTTACAACTTAGGATGATGATGTTAATACTGCTCATACTGTTTGTCACCTCATGTATCTTTACATGATGNGTTTTTTTTATTAAAAAAATTTTTAAATTGGAAAAAAAAAATATTTTTAAAAAATTTTTAAAACAAGGAAAAAAAAAAAAAAAAAAAAAAAAAAAAAAAAAAAAAAAAAAAAGATAAACAAGACCCTTTTTATAACTATGCTCCTAGCTTGCTATATTTTGAACTACATGTTAATGGGTAATTTAATAAACGCACTAGATTCAATATCAAATTTTAACTGGCAGTGTGCTGAATCTAAGTCATTAAATTGGCATGTGATATAAGTACCTAGATGCAAAGAAAAGACAACATGGTAATGACATAAAAACAACATAGATATGAATAATTTAATAATGCAAAATGCTATCTAATATGTAAGAATATTTACACAATAATATATTAATGCAAAATTCTGCTAACAAATAATCAACTTAAATATTTCTTTATGAAAATGGCAATAATATGTAATGTATAATTTAAACATATTCAATGATGTCTGCAAAGCAGACTGCTATCACCCACTGTTCTCAGCATTAATTCCCAAAAGACCAAGCTGAGCAGTAACTTGTGCTAGAAAAGAAGTGATCACCAACTTGTTAAGCTTCATGCATAGAAAAACAACTACAAATCACACCATGAAGAGAGAAATAGGGCTTGTAGGGGATTGTATGGAATTGAACCATCTCTTCGTTGACCCATGTTCAGAAGCACATGTTGAATTTATTCCCCACACATGACAGGTGGGGATAACAATGTCACATATGTATACTAATATTAGGTGTTTATAATAAGATAGATCACTACAATTGTGCATGGACACTACAGAATATTTGTCTTAAGTCTTACAATCATGCTGTTACTCCTTAAAATCCCTAATGTGTACACTGGATGAAGTGATGACCTCAGACTCACCAGATACCAGGACAAAGCATAAATATCAATTTCCTCAATTTGCCATACCAAAAGTGGCTTTACATACAATTGTAATTTCATATCTGGTCCTCCTTAGTCCAGTTTCATAATGCCACTATTCTTCTACACCAGTCAAGGAATACTATATCTTACAACTTAGGATGATGGCGTTAATACTGATCATACTGTTTGTCACCTCATGTATCTTTACATGATGCACTGGAGGTTAAAACATCCATGTATACACTTTCTATCCATGGTAAAAAAAAGTCTGAATGAAAATCAAATCCTTGTTGTTTAATTGTTTTTAGTCTTCTGTATAGCACAACATAAAGATGATTTCTTAAATAGAAATCTACACATAAAGCCCACCAAGTTGATAAAGCCAATCATACCCAAGCTTCATATCCAATGAAATTATTTAGAGTACATGCAATCTTATTTCCTCTCAAATATGTATTCTTAATTCCTGAATGCGCACTGCTTTTCAACATACTCTGCATACTTTACACCATTCAATATTGTAATTATCACATCTCCTTACTGCTGAGGCCAAAACTTCATCCCATTTACTCACACAGCTAAGGTAACTACAAATACTGATAGTATTGACACAAGCATAAAATAATGCAAGTGTCCAGTTCACTTACCTCTTGACCTTGGGGGGCGTCCATCTTTGGCCTGGTCATACATGATTGTCACATCAACTACCTGAAATTTTGGTTGTTTACAATATTAGCCTTTTAGTCATTTTTCCTTTTCAAAGGCAAATATACCACAAAGATGTAGAGAACAACATATGACATCCTAGAACACTGCACAATTTTATCCTTGTAATTAGCATTATGCACACAAACTTTTAAATTTTATTCAAGTTACCTTTCCCCATCTGCTGAAAAAGTCTCTCAAGTTATTCTCATCTGCATTAGGTGGGATCCCTCCAACAAACACTTTCCTAGATTTGTCCCCAAAGTTCCCTCCTCTTCCTCCGCCACCTCCACCCCCATGCTGCTGTTTTGGATGAAAAGCAAACATTAAGTATATTTACACAGAAATTCTTCAGCTTTCAATGGTTACCATATTAATTGACAATTTCCAAAGAAAGAGAGACGTCTGATAATAAGAGAAAACTTTTTTAACATTTCTTTCTCTTTTTTTTTTCTATGAATATTTCCTTCAGTATTTCTTCTATTTTATAAAAAGATATCACTTTCAACTCTTAATTACCCTTCCTCCTCCTCCCCCTCCACCACCTCTGTCCCCTCCTGCTCCTCTGGGGTTGCAAAGCTTGGCATCAACCTAAAATACCAAATATATATATATATATGTATAATCACCTTACATATATAGGCTTACATTACCTATTTAAACCAGGTTATCACTTCGTTTCATTTTAGGCAAGATAATTATATAAATGTCCAAATGCTATACACATAATTGAAGTGCACAGTGATCTTTTACCTCTCTTCCATCAATGTCATGGGAACTCTTTGATAAAGCGTCCTCTGCACATGCTGGGTCTCTGAATGTGACGAAGCCAAAGCCACGCGATTTCCCTGTATTTGGATTCTTCATCACCACACAGTCTACCACTTCACCGAACCGACTGAAGTAGGCATGTAGGGATTCTGCAAGAAAAATATATCAAGTTTAACATACCAATATTACACCAAATTATTTGGTGTGAGAATCAGCATACAATTTTATTACTAGTAATAAATTAACAGGTAGTAGTACTCCAGCTGTCACATGCTACGATCTCTGCTCCAATCACTGTAACACTTTACCCATCTATTTTAAACCTCCATCACTGACATCCTGACCTAAACAACATATATCCCATGAGATAAAGGTATATCCCATGACAAAATCAAAACCCATGAATGTTCTTCGAGTAGAAACTCAAGATGGGATGTGATAGCAACATATAGCATGTAGCACTAAATACCCCTCAAAGAACTCTTTCACTGGACTTTATCAGATTGGAAATGGCATGAAATTATGTGATCTACGACTTGGACATGCAAACGCTCATTCAGGTAGAAGGCCTATGACACATACAGTCCCATATTTGATCCACGAATCTGTTCATCACAGATCAACTTGGTTGTGAATGTGACCATGGAGGAGTTTGTGAAAGTGGTCAATTTTGACTTTGTTCCCCAATGCTTCTTTCCAAATCAAATTAGCATTCAGTGTAAATGTGAGTAAAAATTAAAGAAAATACACAATTTCAAAAGTTTAACACTCAAAAACTGCTCAAACATTCAGACTGTCATGTTGGACAAAGAACATGCTTACATGCAAAATTTAACAACTTACCCTGGGTAGTGTCCCAACTGAGGCCTCCCACAAACAGCTTCCTGCAAACACAAACAATCAGCATAGCAATAATAATGCCAATATATAAATGAATGGTTCAAAACCAAAAAAAAAAAAAAAATCAGAGTAGACACTTTATTCAAGTGTTGCGGAAATGGTACACTAAATCATTTGTTTTGAATTCACTTTTTATAGCCGTACAATCACACTGAAGACAACATTAACACACTTTGAAATTCTTCCCCTGACACAAACATTACAAAACTAAAACGAGTATCTCTAAAAACAACGGAACTATTCTCATGATTTTGATCTTCACATTTAAGTTGCAATGGTATTTACTGAAAGAAACAGCTGCAAAATTCAGGGAGAAAAAATTACTAAAAATGAAATATGTGGGTTGGTAAAATTGCTTACCGCACACTGTGGCAAGGATGTTTTTGCCAGCACATTTAGAGCTAAATACATCTCATACTACAAAATAGATTATTTACTGCCAGGACCATGTATAACAGCTATTTTGTCTAACTTCTGGTAAATCATTTTAAAAACTGATCCAGTGAGAATCAAGTGCCACAATTTTAAAAAATTAGCACAGAACATATTTTCTGATTTAAATAGCAGAGCCAGGAGTTCAAATTTTACTGTTTCACTTCAACTTAACTCCTTCCTGGAAGGGTATACATCACACTTTAGGTGTGACAAGCTAGATGGGATCAGCTACCACTTCAGCGCAGATCAGTATCACAAAATGTGCACCTTTCAAACAGAAGGTCGTACTGCACTTATGTCATATGATGCTAGCCTGGGGCCAGAGCTATATACTGGCAAAGGAAAAGGGAAGAAATCAGCCTAATTACTGACTGACAATCCTTTATAGTTTCCAATTTCAGAATCAGCACTATTATTATCCAACTATACAGCTTTTGTAATGAAAACAAAAACCTTTCTGCCTTTACAGTAAGTAAAATGGAAATCTTCTCAAATATAATTTACCAGGGCAGCAAGACGAACAGATGTACATGAAGTGATATGCAAAAATGATTCATGAGAAAAACAGGTAAGATAAAACATTTAAATAATACTATGTTTAACAAAAAAAGTTGAGGTTATTCTCTTTATCTACGCTACCTGTAAAAGTAATTATAAAGCATGTAACTTATATCACTTACTTCATTCTTATTATTTTACTGCTTCGTTTTCTCTTTTAAAAACTGATAGATAACCTTAGACTGGGCAAATTTAGATGATGCAAAACTGCAATCATGTGCAGAACAAAAAGAAAATAGCCAAAGTGTGAAAATCATCCACATACAAGCATTTAGGGTAAAAGAATACATAAACGAATACCTCTTGGTCAGGACAAGATCAAAATCGAGCATAACAGAAATGTAACTATCTAGCTTCTCAGTTGATACTATAATCATGTGCTGCTATTTTATTCTTATCTGCTGAAGCATTTTCATACTTAACTTGTTAAGTGGACATTAATTCCAAAGACAGAAAATTGAAATGAAGTAACTTATGCACATAGACCTACAGGTAAAAATAATCATACTTCAAATAAGTTCAATGATAACATTTGAAGCAGTGAACATACTTAAATAATCATCCAATAATGAAAAACAACATTATTGTGCAAATTATTTTGTAAGATGTCAGGAGGGGTTTTTTCCCTTATAAACACATAATAAAACAATACAAACCAACATATCTGCATACAGACCTAGTAGTATATCAGAGGCAAAGCAACTCTTTTGTATTCAATATAACATAACAAAAATAGTAATCATAGCCCGCAAAAAATCCAGGAAAGCAGACTAACAGGAGGACAGTACTAGCAACTTGTAAAACGTAAATCAAGAAATACAAATGCCAACGTGCTTTAATTCAACAAAGGAAGACCCATGTCGACAGCAGGGGCAATTTCCATGATAAAGTGACAGTTTTTTTTACTAATTTGGATTAAATATTCTAATAAATATGGCCCCTAGGGTCCATGGCTGTTGTGCAAATAAAATACATTTGCTTGTACATCTGTTACTGCAACATGTAACGTACCCGCTTTCATCTCGACCATGAGACATGCTGCCGGTGCTTTTCAAAATGGCGTTTTCTTGCTCATCCGGGCACTTCTTATCAGATGCCCGTATATGAAAATCAAAAATAGTATAATGCGTGCCTATTCGTTTCGTTCAACTTGATTTTATTCAATAGTACATGATGTCCAATTTTATAAAGAAGTAAACGGAAAACAAAATATACTTAATTCTACTGAAATATCGGAGTCGATATGGGGTTTGCTTGAAGTTTTATAACGTTAGGTATGCAAAGGCTAACCTACAGTGCAGTGCGCATAGGCCTACATATGTAGACGAAGGGGTTGATCGGGGTGAGGGAGGGGTCTGAGAAATTCAGCGGAAAGTAATAGGCCTACACAACCGTTTCTTACTTTGGATGTGAGGGGATGGCATTTCAGAACATATGCAAACAATAGGCCTTATTCGTTAAAGGGATAATAACTCTTCTAGTCCAGGAAATTGGTGAAAAATTGTGCATTTTTTACCTACAAGCATGAAATTTGGCACACTTATGGACAATAAAATTCTAAGCAAATTTGGATATATGGGCATGTCTGAAAATTCCAAAATGGCCGTAAAATCCAATATGGCCACCAAAATACCTTTTCAAATTAAAACTTCAAGTACATAGTCTTCTAATGACTTAAAATATCATATANGTTAAAATCTCTTAAGAGATTTTAACAGAGTATAGCTATCAATGGAGGTCACGTGGTTTAAAGACAAGCTCAAATATCAGAATTTCGAGCTATAACTGCAGTTTTTGTGGTAAAACAGAATATATTATATTTCTATGAGTTATTCACAATGTTTTTATTGTGAAATATAGGTCTCATACGAAGAGTTATTATCCCTTTAAATGATGGAAAGATATATAGGCCTAAATTATAGGCATAATAATAATAGCCTAGGCCTAGGCTACTTATTAATTAGGCCTATGCCAACCTCTATTTCGCCTAGAAATCATATTTCAACTAGGCCTAATATTAATTAAGTATAGGGCCTACTTAATAAGGCCTAATGTAGGCCCCTATCCATTAATTTGAAAATAAATAGTGACCAAAATTAAACCTGCTGTCAAAAAAACGGGCGTATTTTTCTCTGAAATAGGCCTATCTGTTAAATATCTATTTAGGCTAATTCAGCAATAGGCCTAAGACTCGATGTCAATTGACATCAAGTCCAGCCTTTTATGATTTTTTTTTTCATCTAGACTATCTAAAAGGGTCTACCCCAAGCTTCAAAGTTGGTCAACGATGTGTAGGCCTACTTCTGGATTGCTATGTTGGCTTAGGCCTATTTGACACCCGCTCTCTCAGTATACAGGCCTACGTGTATGCATGGATACTCTGAATATCCGGAATTTTCAGATTGTCAGTAAAAGTCCTGAGCCCCGTCGCAGCTGCCGTTGCTCCGGTCCCCGTCTAACAGCACGCACGTAGGCCGTACATTTTGGCCTGCGCCGGTTTTATATCACTTTCAAATTTCTATAGAAAAACCAATCATTCCACTACTTTATATGACAATAAATACCCTATATTATATATTATTTTATTCCATTCAAGAAAATTCTGTTTTTTAGTTCCACGCTGATTCCTAAACCCTTCAATGTAAAGCTACTGACAGATGGCAGCGACATTAGCATGAAGAAAAGTGATCAGAGTGGTAAGTCACAGTCCAGTGTTGTGGGCATTTATCAAAGCGTCGTAAATGTACATGCATGCATGAAACGGCCTTCATAGGGACTATACACAGACGCTTGCAGCAGGGGCCTATATGTCTATTATATCAATTACATGTATATACCAACCGTCCTCCAGCCGGTCCATAATCGTCTGATTAGCGTGTAACTGCAGTTTAATGTAGAGGTTAAGTTTTTTGTTAACTTCTTACTTTAAAGTTGTTTACTCTATGTTAAACCTGGTCTTACACCCCCCCCCCAAAAAAAAAAAATAATAATAATAATAAATAACTCGCTACGACAGAGATTAAATAAGGGATTTGAGGTATAATTCAAAAGACATTAGATGCCATACTTCCGAATGATGAAGAAACGTTGGGATCCATGATAATTATGGTAAATTAAGTGTCATTAAGATCTGACATGTATAGCGAAGTAACTACATTGCTTATTCCTGGGTAACTTTTTAGTGCGAGATAATGAAACCACTTCACCGCATGTGGTTTGAAGGATCCACGAGATAACATTAAGCATAACTTGAGTCCTGAGGCTGAAAATGCTTTGGTGTTCACGAACGTTGAGATTTTATTCAGTTTGTCGGAATCTGTACAATTATAAGTGAAAATAAGTGCGACTGCACAGGGGAAATGTTCAGGCCGGGTCGTTTTCAGGCTCACTTCATGCTTTAAAATGCAGAGAGAAACATTTTGGGTTGAATATCATGGGCAAACCTGATCGGCGTGAAGACCTTGGTAAATATTACTGTACGGATTTCACATGAGTTTTTCAACATTTGCAAAATATTAGAGTCTTTAATAACTATTCTAGCATTGTCAGGGTGATTAATTTTCATAATTTTTGGAATCTTTAAAACAGAGAACCGGCATCATGTTGGCACTATGGATTTCAGATTTATTTTTTGTAATATTGGTGTAGTGCGGCTGTTACAACGGCTGTGAGAATGAATGCTATTTCTATATCCCTATGAAAATATCTTTGGCACGTCAGCTGTTAGCACCTGTATAGTGAAACATGTTACTGAAGACATAGTGGTTTCCTTGGTGATTGCTAATTGATTACACCGACAAAAATATAATTAGATTTTTAACAGTATTACTAATGTATCTTTGCAGGTTTGCCAGGATGGGAGATCGCCGTTCTGGTTATTTGTGTAGCACTGGGCGTAGGTTGCATTATATTCGTATGCATCACATGCATAAGAAAACTTTGGAAGGAACGAAAGAAAACAGCCAAGTATCAAAAAATGGCGAACAAGTTCTCTGTGAATTACAAAACAAAAACCCACAGACCAATTACTCATTTGTTAAAGAGACAAAATCACGTCGACTATGGTTATCAAAAAATGCCACCAAACTGTGACCCAGGACTGGGACCGCACTGTCACAGGGACGGTCTTGTGTGTCATGGAGAAACAGATCTAAGAGATTACCAATATTCGCCTCTGATACTTAGACCAAAGGCCTCGAGTCATAACGGCTCTGATGATGGGCGATCTGATAGAAGTTCTATTTCACACACTCCCACAAAGGAAAAATATCACCGAAAGGCATATTTTACGTGGTCTCGACAATCCTCTTGCAGCGATCCCAGCAACCTTTTATTGAGCAATGGCAAAGATCATACAAGCAGCAGCCAATCGCGCTCTGCTAGTCCAATCCCAAGAAGTCGAAGCCGAACTCCAACACCACCTTCACAAGCAGAAGACGATCTCAAAACCAAATCTTGCAGGTCGATGTCGCACCCTTCAAATGAATCTATCGAGACAAGTAACTTGCTTACAGAACCTAAAATGTCAGCACGGTCGTTCTCTATGGTAGAGGTGCGCCAATTACAGGAGAAACCCCCTCCTGGTTTGTCCAATAAGTGGACAGTTCATACAATGTCATATGATTCAGAACCTAAAAGCTGCACCGAGACAACAGAGGCACTGCAGACGACGCTTACCTTTTCTATTGCGTATCACTCATCGGCGAAGTCCTTAGAGCTTGTTGTAAATGAAATGATAGGCATTCCTTCAAAATTTGGATTTGATTGTTCTTCTTTTGTACAAATTAATCTATTACCAAAGACAAAACAAAAATTCTATACAGAATCGCAAAAAGGTACAAGAAACCCTCCTTTCAACGAAACATTCCATTTTGCCGATATCACTTCGGATGATCTAGAACGTTGCTCTCTCAGGTTAAGAGTGTACATCAAAGAGCCAGGGAGAAGTCGGGAAACGTTTTTAGGAGAAGTCTTCTTCCTGTTGTCTCAATTTACTTGGACAGAAAATCTGCAGAGTTTTACACAGAAACTTAACAAAGGTCGCAGGAAAAAGGTAATGTAAAGATTTAACACCTCTTTCTAAATTGATATCACATTTTCAAATCAATGTTCATATCGAACGGAAAAATCGAGTGGATAAAAAAAAGAGAGATTTGAATTTGTTTTTTTCCAAAAATCAGTCCCTAATCTAATCAGCGCCATATAAAGTAGTATATTGTGGAATTTCATTGGATTTGAGTGGATTATTAAAATCATCGCCCATTTCTCCACCTCCTGTAAATCTTATCAAGTCTTCTGCTCTCTTGCATACTTCTCTCAGTCTCTCTTCCTTATTATTTACTAAAGAGCAAGTTCAGAAGCTTATAAATTCAGTCATACTTGTTTAGCATTTTCTTGTGTGTTTTTAATGGTATGAAACGTAACTCCATTCTGTTTTAAATAATCCCCGTATGGACAGAGTCGGTGACAGTCAGTGAGAAAGTAAATCTTTCAAAAGTCTACCAAGCACTCATTTCCAGCATTTCTTATTTCCATTATCATTTTCGTACTGAACGCAGCGTGGGTGTCATAAAAGGCACTGAGGAAAAATTGTAAGATGCAAGAGGCAATAAATACCATGAAGTACATTCTCGACACTTGGAGTTTACTGCCTGTCTTGTTATACCCCCCGTAGTTGTCATCATATTGATTATATTCGACGTTGAGATTAATGGCCAGTTTCGTGTGCGAACGTCAAGGCTCATAGGAAGGTTTTGTCCTTATAACCTATAGGGACAAGATGAGTTCTATTGATTAAGTTCAGTAAGGTACTTCATTTCATTATATTTACTATTCAAATAAAACATTTGTAAGGCAGTTTCAGGCGTTTTATGGGAAAACATGCCCATTTGTACAAGGTTAACAACAACGGGAATTCGCTTAATGCCCATTTTATATGATTTATATCTGTCTGCAAAAGTATCTTCAAATTCAAGTGATTTGCATGTTAATATAGTTAATTTATGCCTAGGCCTTATACTTGTTTACTAACATGGAGAATGTTCACTGAATTTGAGACTCCTGCGTTTATTGAAAGTACTCGTGTAAGAACAACAGATACCACGCATTTTAAAACATATTTTCACAAATTTTATTGTTTTTATTGTTCATCCACGCCTCATTCACGTTTGTGAATATGTTATGTCTTCGATGGTATAAGCAATTATAACTGCTTCTACAATGTAGTTCTGTGGAGGGACTCCAAAAATCCTTGATAATTTGGTTAGCTATTGCAAAAAAGTGGACGCTCACAGTGAACAACAACAAAATAAAGATAATACATGTATAAATAGTGATATTAAATAAGACAGACAAATTTTATACTAAACCACGAAAAGTACCCTCGATGATTTGAGGGATAAGAACGAAAGCGCTTGTAAAACTATCATACTATCATAAATCCCATTCTAATGTACGGATGTGAGATCAATGAGATTAATTCTCTCAATAAATCAGTAAATAACTTGCCCTTTGAAACAGTACAAAATAACTTTTGCAAAGAAATTTTAAACGTGAGACGTAGTGCAAGTTATGTAGCTATACGAACTCAGAATTAGACAAATTCCCGTAACACAAAGATATATTTGGTCATGGCCTACAGACAAACGATTCTCTGAAATGCAAGATAAACGCAACGCAAAATAGTCTATGAAAATGAAGTAAAAGATCAAAAACATAGGATAAATTGGTCACACAGAAAAAAGAAAAAACCCGAAATTTAATAATAACACTGGATAATCCATATAAAAAACAGATATCAAGATGCGTGTGCAAGAAATCGAGAAGTAAAACGGTAAAGTCTGCACAAAAAGATTAATTAAAACTAATTATAAAAGAGAATTGTACACAAAAGCACCAACACCAAAATGTGACATGCCAAACATAGCAAAGTTGAGGGCACACCATATAGAAATACAACAAAGACTTCACAAAATATGTTCGGAAGATGAGAAGTTAAAAATGAAATATATTTCTTATTAAAGTGCCCTATAC